TATACTAAAAATTTCATTCTTTACAGTCGTTGTACCTGCTGATTCCTCGACCAGGAATCCTTTCCTCCAAGCAGCTACATACATTGTTCTCTACTTGGCTTCAGTTTAAATCATTGTTCCAATGCCACTGCTCAGGGAGGCCTCCCTTGTCAGATTGCAAGTTCAGCCACCCCTCTGTTGCTACTTGAAGTTGGGCTCCTGGATGCTTCTTCCTAGAAGAAATGGCCTAAGATGTTACAGGTCAGTCTTCTGGTAGGGAAGAGGAAAACTTCTGTCCCACAGTGAGGGGTAATGCAGTGTAATGCAGGAAAGACAGTTCTGGATACATGGGGACCTGGAGTCCCTCCTGGTCATAACTTGTGCTCAACCGATTGGACACATGTTACTGGAAATCATTGATCTGGGTTCTGAGTGGCAAGTGGAGATGTAACACGACAATGGTGTTTGGGATATTAGGTGTGCATGTCCATGTGTGCTGTGTGTGAATGTGTATGTATAATTCTATACACTCCTGTGGACTCATATACACATGCATGGAGTTAAAAAAGGCAATTGAAAAGGAAATTATGTAAGTAAAGTGGGGGACTACCCGAGTCCTGAGCTCCTCAGACCTGTATCTCTGTTTGACTATTTTAGAACTCCGGGGTGCCTCTGCAGGAGTTCCCATGGTAACTGGGACACTCATACCCACTGGGCCTGCACTGCAAGAAACAAGAGCTGGGATTTCCCAGGGGCCACACTGGGATGGGGTCTCCCCTCCCAGCAGAAACTGCATCATCTCTCTTTCCTCAGAGTCACTCTTCTCTCTGCCTCCCTGCCCCTCCCCCTGGATGCTGGGCGCTGGCGATTTCTCACCAGCTCAGCTGATGGCACAGGGTCCTCCTGTCCATGGCCCAGACCATCAGAGCACATTGGGAGTCACTCAGCGCAGGGGAAGGAGTGTTTGGGAAGAGTGAGGGGGAGTAGATTTTCCTCTGTCCTCCTCAGGTCCCCTCAGTGCCTAGTGTCTGGCATCACAGCAGCCACTGGGACTTACTCAAATGCAGCCCCGCTCTGGCCCCTCAGGGCCTCAGCACAATCACCAGTCCCCTCCATGGCGACAGCGTATTGGATGGGTGATCTGGGCTCCATCCCATCGCCAGTGATTTTTAAATTCCTGTGTGAAATTCTCACTTCATCCATTAGGAGCCATTGCCACTAAGCAAATGGCTTCTGAGACCAACTCCCTGTGACTCCCGGCCCTCCTGGGCATGGATGTGCTGATAAGATTGTGGGACTTTAGTGCCATGTGATGAGGTCAGGCTGTACCTGGGTCACCTCCATTTGGTAACAAAACCTACCTTAGACTAAATAATAGGACTGAAAGCATCAAACTCAAACCAACTTTCATTCTCTCCCCCACACCCTCCTTGTGATAAATCTTCAACTTGCAACTAGTGCGCTCCTATCCCACTGCAATTGCTGGAACTTGGTAAACTGATTGTATTACACCTGTGACAGAATCCTCTGTGTTGCCAGGAGGTTGAAAGAATCAAGTATCTGCTGACTGTTGCCTGATCTTGACCCTGGGGAGACACTTCTGCTGAGAGTGTCAAACCCCAATCCCCATGATGCCTGGACTGCCCAGCCAACCTCAGACCTGGAAGTGTGCAGCTCCCCACTGTACATCCTGCACCCCTGCCTCCTGCCCACTCCCCACTCCACATCCTGTACCCCCTCCCTCCCCGCCCCCCTTATATAGTCATAGTCTCCTGGCACTTGGGGAGCTGGGCGTCAGGGTCCCAATCCCACTGAGTGCCTTGGTGGCTGCCTTGAACCAGCTCCTCTGTGAAAAGACAAATCAATGCTCTGAGTTTGGCCTTCTGGGTGATGAGCCACTGGCTGGTTTGCTTGCTCTCAGGCTTCATGACTCCCCACGCTCGGGGGAGTGGAGCTGACTGTTTTGGATTCTTCCTTGTTGGGGACCTTCACTCAATGTGGGCTCCATGTGTCCAGCCCAGGCTCCCCCAGGCGGTGCTGGCTCCTGTCCTGGCCTCCCCATCACCTGCTTCAGGTCCTTCATCTCCTGATCACACTGCCAGACCCCCCGGCTGAGACGCGGGCCTTGTCTCCCCTCCTTCCCTCAACACCCCCAGCCCCTTTCCAGGGTCCAGAGTCAGTCTCGTCCCCCACGGGCCGTCCCTGCAGCCTGACTCTGCCCTCGGGAAATGGCGGAGGGTGGTGGCTGCTCCTCACCGGCTGGATCCTCAGGGGACCCACATCTAGTGGGACTTTGCCCCAGACAGCCCCCCACTGGGGCCTGAGACAGGGGGTGCTGGTCTCCGGCCAGGGCCAGACTTGGCCCTTCCTGACTCTGTCTTCGCCGCGCTGGGCGGCCAGGGCTGGGGAGTTCACAGTTTCCTCGTGACGGTGCAGGTTCCTCGGCGTCCCCTGAGCCGGCTCCGATCCCGGGCGCGTCACGGACAATCCCGCTGGACGCTTCCCCTCTAGGGACAGTCTCAGCACAAGGCGGTTTCCTACCCTGGGGACGAGGGACCAGGCCCTGCGTCCTCCTGCTGTGCCTTCTCACCCGTCTCTCCCAGACACTCCCCTCAGTGAGTCATGGTCTTTCTCGTTATTTTCCAGGGAAAAAAATCCCCCTTTTCTGATACTAACCTTCTGGCGTGTGGCTGAACTTCACAGGTGACCACACAGTCCCCCAGGGCTGACCTCACTTCCGACACCAGCACAAAACTGTGCCAGTGCCGCCCTCCCTGCTGACGCTCTGGCTACAGTTTCAGGGACTCCAATGTCCTCCAAAGACCAGACATCACGCACAGAGGAAGGGCTACATGTGTGCTTCAACTATTTTTTTTTTTTTTAACAGCAAAAGGTAACAAGTCTGATTCAGTCTAGGGAGGGGCACAGCTGGGCCCGGTCTGCCAGTGTACCCCGCCCAGGTGGTCGCCCTCCTGGCACACCCAGTACTCTGGTTCCTGTCAGTCAGGGAGGATCCTGGAAGCAGGGCCTTGAATTGGCAGTGCCAGGGGAGCGGCGCGTGTGCTTCAGACTTTCTGTTTCATTCTCCGCAATGCAAGGTCTGGAAGGTCAAACTCAGTTTCGGAAAATCTTCCGTGGGAGGGTGATGTGCTGAAGCTCAGCTGCCGTCCTCGTGCCCGAGGGAGGAAACACGGGGTTCCCAGGGGGCGAAGAGTAACAGGGGGTGTTTAGGAATATCAGAAGGCAGCAGAATGTATAAATGTGCCCAGAAACACTGTCCGGGCGCGTCCTGCCTTCTGGGGGGGCTGCGGGAGATGCCAGGCTGCTCTGGCTGGTTTCTTCCTCCGGACACTGCTGGTCCGGCCGGCACAGGAAGGCCGTAGAGGGACCGGGCCTTGGGGGTGACCCTGCCCCGCGGGCACATCTTCACGTCTAAAAAGAGACTCAACGTGGCCACTGTGTGCAGGCGCCTGACACAGGCAGGTGAGAACATTCACTCCTGCTGAGCCGATGCCCCTTTGGGCCATTCAGAGGCTCTGCCCGGGGTGCCAGTGCCTGCCCCACCCTGTGTCTCCAACTGGGGCTGATTTCTGCTCTTCCTCCCCTGCTGAGCGAGCACCCTGGGGCGTCCTCTTCACCACGTGATAGGAAGGGGGGCAAAGTGTGTGTAGAGTCATCCATGTTTCCAAAATCCACAAAACGAACATGGATTCTCAGAGCCCGTGCTGAGCAGAAGGGGTGGCCTATGGGGGCCCTTTGCACACTTCAGTGCCTGCTGCATAGCCAGGGAACCCCTGTGATGCGTGTTCTCCTGTGAGGACCATCCCAGCGGGAGATCCAGGGGCCTGTGTCCATGGCGGGAGGAGGTGATGGAGCAACCCCCGCCTTTGGTCTCTGATGATTTTCCACGGAATGGGAAGGAGAAGGAAACACTGGACATGAGGAGAGGAGCTCACCAGGGAAGTGCAACGGGAGAGCCTGAGGATGGATATTGGGGGTGGGGGTCTGGCCTCTTGCTGTTCCCCTCTGGTGGGGATTGATGATCTCACCCCCCTCCCCTACCCATTAGGCTGCTCCAGGCTGAGCTGCCCAGCAGCAATACAGAGCAGCTTCGCCCGTGATTCTCAACTATTCCAGGCGTCATACTCAACAGTGAAAACAGGTCAAACTTGGGTTCATGATTGACTTATTTTCCAAAATATTATCATTTTTTAAAATTTTTAAATTTTACATATTTTTACATCATCTTTTATTTTTGCATGATGTATGCATTTTCACCTTCCTTACAGTCCCCATACAGTTCCCACTCCCTTGTTTTGGTCCTATTTCCTTCTCCCCCCACAGTGTGTCTCTGGTTTATAGTTGCTTGTTGCTTGTTGATTTTCATTTTTATTTTATTATAATTAGTCTTTTTCCTGGTCCCTTATTTAGTTTTCTAGATTCCTGCTATGAGTGAGACTATCTGGAATTTTTCTTTTTCTTTCTGGCTTATTTTACTGAGCATGATCCCTTCCAGCTCCATCCATGTTGCTGCAAATTGCATGAGCTTATCTTTCAATACATTATCATTTTACCATACAATCAATTTAAGTAGTTTTGTGAACCTGACACATATCCTGTTATAAATCAACTTTAAGTCAATATAGAGTCATAAAATACTTGTTCAGCAGGGTTTTGTATAACTTATAAGAAACAGGCCTGATTTCTAAGAAACCTTATCTTCTCTGCTCAGGCAGCCTAGATGCTATATATCGGGGCACCCCAGTCTGTGTCTACAGCCAGGGAGAACCTGAGAGCTAAGAGCTGTGACCAGAACTCAGCTCCAGGCCTGGCCTCCTGGAGAGGGCGGCTGCTCACCTGCTTATTTTTCTCAGAAAAGGACTTGGAAAGTGATTCAGGAGCCCATTGGTAGAAAGAAGCCACAGACCAGTCACATTATCACTCTCTGGAGCTCGTGTGGCCAACTCTGCTGGACCTCAGGACTCTGAGTGTTGAAGGGCCCTGCTCATTGGAATCTCTCCGGGACAAAACACCATATACCTGGTGAGTTAGAACCAGGGACAAGGAGGTGAGTGAGAAGAGGTGATACCTTATTCACAGCTAGAAATGCTCGGGCTGGGTTTGTGAAAGGAACAGAAGCTTGTTTTGTCATCATTGTAGCCCAAAGATTTGCTCCCTAAAGTTCTCTTTAATGAGGGGGTGTCCTGGTAACTGAGGCGAGCCCTGAGGCTACGGGACGTGTGTTGGGGCATCTTTGCCCAGGTCAGGTCTAGAGAATCTTTTGTTCCTGTTCTGCTCTTGGAGTCCAAGCCACTGTGGTCCCTGTCACAGCAAACCTGCTGACACCCCAGCCGTGCCCCGAGTCCTTCCTTCCACAGCCTCGCTACCCCTGGCAGTTTTTTGTTCTTTTTTTTTCTTTTAACATTTATCATTTTTTTACACTTCTTTTAGACAACACTTGCTTCCCCCCACCCCCTCATATTGAGTCCCCCTAGAATTTCCTTCCCCAAGACACCCATGCACCATCACCACAGACCACTGTGCTCCTCACTCCCTCCCTCTCACCCTCTCCCTCCTCCTTCACTGCAGGATGTCTCTGGTTTATAATTGTCTGTTTTTGCTTTGTTGTCATTTGTACTGTTATTTTTTTTTACAAGCTATCAGAATTTATGGGATGCAGAAAAAGCCAAAAGAGGGAAGATTATTTTTTTTTTTTTTGATAAATCAGGCATTCAAATTTTATTTTAAAAAGTAACAATTGTTCTTCTAATGATCTCAAAATTTAAGTCAATGAATCTTCATTTTAATTTTTAGCAAATTAAAATAGTCTTCTATTGAACAAGTGTGAGATTAAAATAAATGTTTTAAACATGCTGATGGTATTCACTAAACTGTTTCCTAAAATTTTTTTGTCTTTCAGTGTTTATTTATTTTTTTTTTTTAATAAATTTTTATTGTTATATTCCCCATACAATTGCAATCCCCCCATTCTGACCCCAATCCCTCCCCTCCCACCCCCGCCCCCTAAAAGTGTCTCTGGTTCATAGTTTTTTGTTGATTTTGATTTTCACTTTCTTATAGTTATTCATTTTCCTGGTCCCTTATTTAAGTTTTCTAGATTCCTGCTATGAGTGAGACCATCCGGTATTTTTCTTTTTCTTTCTGGCTTATTTCGCTGAGCATGATCCCTTCCAGCGCCATCCATGTTGCTGCAAATTGCATGTGTTTATCTTTTTTGAATGCTGAGTAATATTCCATGGTGTATATGTACCACATCTTCTTGATCCAGTCATCTATTTTTGGGCATTTGGGTTGTTTCCAAAGCTTAGCTATTGTAAACAGTGCTGCAATAAACATAGGGGTGCAGGTGTTCTTTGGAATTGATGTTTCTGTGTCCTTTGGGTAAATACCTAGGAGTGGAATTGCTGGATCCTATGGAAGCTCTATGTTTAGTAGGTCCAGAAATCTCCATACAGCTTTCCACAGTGGTTGGACCAGTTTGCACTCCCACCAACAGTGCAGAAGAGTTCCTTTTTCTCCACACCCTCGCCAACATTTGTTGTTGCTAGTTTTTTTAATATGTGCCATTCTCACTGGTGTAAGATGGTATCTCATGGTAGTTTTGATTTGCATTTCCCTGATGACAAGTGATGTTGAACATTTTTCATATGCCTGTTGGCCATTTGCATTTCCTCTTCAGAGAAGTTTCTTTTAAGCTCTTCTGCCCATTTTTTGACTGGATTATTTTCTTTGTTGTTGTTGAGTCTCATCAGCTCTTTGCAGATTTTTGTGATCAGTCCTTTATCATTAGTGTTGGGTGCAAAAATGTTCTCCCAGTTGGTGGGGTTTCTCTTTGTTTTTGTTATTGTCTCTTTTGCTGTGCAAAAGCTCTTTAATTTGATGTAGTCCCAGCTGTTTATCTTTGCCTTCACTATCACTGCTTTGGGTGATGTGTCTGTAAAGATGTCTTTGATGTGCAAATCACGTAGTGTTTCGCCTATATTTCCTTCTATATATTTTATGGTTTCAGGTCTTATGTCTAGTTCTTTAATCCATTTTGAGTTGATTTTTGTGTATGGTGTGAGGTGGTGGTCAAGCTTCATTCTTTTGCATGTAGCAACCCAGTTTTCCCAACACCATTTATTGAACAAACTTTCTTTGCTCCAATGCATAGTCTTTGCTCCTTTGTCAAAGATTAGTTGACCATAAATCTGTGGGTTTATTTCTGGATTTTCTATTCGATTCCATTGGTCTGTATGTCTGTTCTTGTTCCAATACCATGCAGTTTTGATGATTATGGCTTTGTAGTATAGTTTGAAGTCTGGGAGTCTGATGCCTCCATTCCCTTCTTTTTTTTCAGGAGAGCTTTGGCTATTCGGGGTTTTTGGTGATTCCATATGAATTTCATCAATAATTGTTCTATTTCTTTGAAGAATGACATTGAAATTTTGATTGGAATAGCATTGAATCTGTATATTGCTTTGGTAGGATGGCCATTTTAATAATGTTTATTCTTCCAATCCATGAGCAGGGGATGTCTCTCCATTTCTTTGTGTCTTCTTCTATTTCTTTTAACAGTGTTTTATAGTTTTCTTTGTATAGGTCCTTTACCTCTTTTGTTAGATTTATTCCCAAATATTTGATTTTTTTTGTTTCAATAACAAAAGGGATGGTCTTTTTGATTTCTTCTTCTTCAGATTTATTGTTTGTGTATAGGAAGGCTACTGACTTTTGCGTGTTGATTTTGTATCCTGCCACTTTACTGAACTGATTGATGAGTTGAATTAGCTTTTCTGTGGAGTTTTTGGGTTCTCTATGTATAATATCATATCGTCTGCAAATAGTGATAGTTTGGCTTCTTCTTTTCCTATTTGGATTCCTTGGATGTCTTTCTCTTGTCTTATTGCCCTGGCTAGGACTTCCAGTATTATATTGAAAAGCAATGGTGAGAGTGGACATCCTTGTCTTGTTCCAGATCTTAATGGAATTGCTTTCAGCTTTTCACCATTGAGAATGATACTGGCTGTTGGCTTGTCATAGATGGCCTTTATGATGTTAAGGTATGTTCTTGTATCCCCAGAATTTCAAGGGCTTTTATCATGAATGGGTGTTGCACTTTGTCGAAAGCTTTCTCAGCATCTATTGATATTATCATATGGTTTTTATATTTCTTTTTGTTGACGTGTTGGATAACGTTGATTGATTTCGGATGTTAAACCATCCTTGTGCCCCTGGAATGAATCCAACTTGGTCGTGGTGAATTATCTTATGGATACATTGTTGGATTCTGATAGCTAAAATTTTATTGAGGATTTTTGCATCAGTGTTCATTAGGGAGGTTGGCCAGTAGTTTTCCTTTTTTGTGTTGTCCTTGTTCGGTTTTGGTATTAGTGTAATGTTGGCTTCATAAAACGTGTTTGGTATTGTCCCTTCCTTCTCAATTTTTTGGAAGAGTTTGTGAAGGATAGGCACTAATTCGTCTCTGAATGTTTGGTAGAATTCATTTGTAAATCCATCAGGTCCTGGGCTTTTGTTTTTGGGGAGGTTTTTTATACCATTTCAATTTCGCTAATTGTAATTGGTCTGTTTAGGTGTTCTATTTCTTCTTTATCTAGCTTTGGGTGATTGTAGAGTTGTAGGAATTTGTCCATCTCCTCTAGATTGTTAAACTTGTTTCCATATAACTGTTCATAGTAGTTACTGATTATTCTTTTGATTTCTGCTGTGTCCGTTGTGATTTCTCCTCTTTCATTGATGATCCTGTGTATTTGTGCTTTCTCCCTTTTTTCCTTTGTGAGCCTGGCTAGGGGTTTGTCTATTTTATTGATTTTTTCAAAAAACCAGCTCTTGGTTTCATTGATCTTTTGGATTGTTTTTTAGTTTCAATTTCATTTATTTCTGCTTTGGTTTTTATTATTTCTTTTCTTCTACTGGTTTTGGGGTTTTTTTGTTGTTCTTTTTCTAGATCTTTGAGCTTCGAGATGAGGTTGTTTCTTGCGTTCTTTCTTGTTTCTTGATGTGAGCTTCTATTGCTATATATTTTCCTCTTATTACTGCTTTTGCTGCATCCCATACATTTAGGATATTAGTGTCCTCCTTGTCGTTCAATTCAAAAAATTTTTTAATTTCTTCTTTGATCTCCTCATTAGTCCAATGGTCTTCCAGTAGTGTGGTTTTTAATCTCCATGAGGTAGGAAAGTTCCTTGCCTTCTTTTTATGGTTTATTTCTAGTTTGATGCCTTCATGGTCAGAAAAGATGGTTGATATGATTTCAATCTTGGTGTATCTGTTGATGTTTGTCTTGTGCCCCAGTATGTGATCGATCCTGGAGAATGATCCGTGTGCGCTTGAGAAAAATGTATACTCCGTTTTTTTGGGGTTTAGTGTTCTATAGATGTCTGTTAAGCCTAATTGCTCTAGGTCCTTATTTAGAGCTTTGGTTTCTTTACTTATTTTTTGTCTTGTTGATCTATCCATTGTTGATAGTGGTGTGTTGAAGTCTCCCACTACGTATGTGTTTTCTCTGATGTCTGTTTTCAGAGAGGACAACAGTTGTCTGATATATTTTGGTGCTCCTTCGTTTGGTGAGTATATGTTAATGAGTGTTATTTCTTCTTGAAGTATTGTCCCCTTGATCATAATGTAGTGACCATTGGGGTCTCTTTTTATCTTTTTGAGTTTGAAATCTGTTTTATCTGATATAAGTATAGCTGTTCCTGCTTTCTTTTTTGGTCCATTTGCTTGTAGGATTGTTTTCCATCCTTTAACTTTGAGCCTATTTTTATCTTTTGTAGCTAAATGTGTTTCCTGGAGACAGCAAAAGGTTGGGTTTTGTTTCTTAATCCAGGCTGCCACTCTGTGTCTTTTTATTGAAGAGTTTAGTCCATTTACATTTAGAGTTAATATTGATATGTTAACATCTGTATTTGCCATTGTGTTTGTCTTTCCTTTGATTTTATTTATTTATTCTTTTAATAACTTTTTTTTTTTTTTTTTGGCCTTCTTTCATTGTTATTCGTCCCTCTGAGGTTCTGGCTTTAGGA